CTTTTATATATACACGAAAAAAAATGTATATAAGTTTCAATTCTTAAAAATATTAAAGTTTTAATTTTAAATTACGTTATCTTATTTAATTAAAATTTAAAATTTTATTTTATTAAATATTAATATTTAAATTTAAAATCATTCATTAAATTTTTTAATTTTAAATTAAGAATTTAATTTTTTTAAAATTAAAATTGATATACACTATAATATATATATATATATATCTCAAGTGTATGATATTACTAGGGAAATTAATCAAATAAATACTAGAATTTCCCTGCCTCTGGGTCATCCATTCATATATTCTCTTTGAAGTTCGGACCTAGTTGTACCTACCTAACATTTAGTGTTGAATCAAATTGTTAACAAACCTAAAACATGGGGACGGCCAATAGGGTACCCTAGGTACGTACTCCTTGTACCCTTTGTACTTCAAAGCAGTAAATTTGATTTGCAGAAAAAAAAAGGGGGACGGCCAACAAGGTAAATTCAAAGAAACGCACTAAAACAAGGGCCACTAGAGAGAAATATAAATGTGAACCCAAGTTTCTGAATTCTTTAAACTTGGACAAAATGATGAGCTTTTTATAAATTTTACTAGAGAGATATATTCTTAATTAGATTAAGGATTTTTTTTATTATTTCCTCTTAAAATAAAGGTTAAAGGTATAATTGATATATTTTTTATAATTATTTTTTATTAGAAATGTAAATATTGGTTTTAGTTTAATTAATCAATTAGTTAAAATAATTCATGTGTCAATGATGTTAAAATAAATATCAAAAGTTATAATTTTTTATATGAATTAATTAAAATAAATATATTTATAGTACTATTAATATGTGTTTTAATTTAAAATATTGGTTAAATAAACCATTAGATTAATTAATAAGTATAATAAATCAACTAAACACAAGCACATGCAAGTTAAAAAACACTAGCAACAGCTCCTCTTTGGCTCTCTCTCTCTCTCTCTCCCATATAGGAGCTGCCCTCTCTTCTTCTTCTTCTTCTTCTTTTCTCCGTCTCCTCCTAGTTGCTATCTCTCTACACTTCAATAGTAAAGAAGGATGAATAATATAAAGGTGGGAGTTTTTCCTTTCTTCTGAAGGCATTTCTCAATACTTGCCTATGTGAAGATTACTTTTGCAATCTCTAGTAATAATTAGCCATTTTTTCTTAATTGTCTAGATTTCACATACAGGCTGCTATTAGTACTATAAGTTCTACCTTCTTTAGATATTGAGGATTAATGTAATGTGTAATCTCTTTCTTTTATAATGAAGTTAATATTTTTTTATAAAAAAAATTATTAGTGTACGTATACAACATTTTTAAATTTTAAGAAAACCACAAGACTTTTATTTTCCATTTAATTTTTGGTCAAGGAAAAAACAGAAATCAAAGTAGTACCAAAGTGAATTTACGGAAATTATACAGGTGATCGAATCAAACAGCAAAAAAAGGACTAATTCTTATTCTAGTAGCTGATGTCTTAATTGTCAAAGTTTAAGGTGTTTAAGCTACACATCCCATAGCGTGGGAACGTTTGAAATTAATGTTGGATTGACATGCACCATCAGTCTTAGGGTTGAATTGATATGTACAGTGCTACTTTGACAACAAAATAATATCAGCAAATCAAAGCGACGGTCCACCCAACTAATTCTTCACTTTTCCTCAGCATGTGCTATCTTAATAATTTGTCTCAATAAAATAAATATATCGGAGAACTTATATCAATATTATCCAAAATAACTTACATTAATTTTTTAACACTCATGTCACATAAATATTTTTAATTAAATAATTAATAAAATTAATATTAATTTTTATTTTTTAGTATATAACAATATACAAACATAATAAATACAGTTTTAATATGTATTCTGAAATAAAAAGAAAACTATGGACAGCTAGCTAGCTAGCTGCTCTTCAACTTCCACTTCATAATTAATTGCTTGCAAACTTAGCTGCAAGTGTGCAATCTAACTTAATTATAACAAGCTAATGCATCACCATGTCCTCGGGAATATTATCCAACCCAATACATACATAAACTGATAACCACAAAAAATTTTGCAAAACCATTCATGTCTCTATAGCTCATTAATTATTTATAATATATGAATAATAATTGAGATTTTTTATTTTTTATACTAGTTTTTGTTGAGTAGTTTTATATAATTAAAAAAATTTAATTATAATTTTATTTCCTCAAAAATCCTCAAATGGTTTTGCACATACATAATCTGGATGTAAGCGTGCCACTTACGTTTTTTGAAAAGTAAAAAAAAAAAAAAAAAGATTTTCTCAACGACTCTCTCCTTTCACGCAATCGACTTCCATTAGGATGGCTGAAAAAGGGTTGGTTTAAGATTGAGTTTTGCGCCCTTCAAATGATTTGCAAGAGAAAGGGATGTCTTCCTACATAATGGATCACTAATTTGCCTTGGACAATCTCAAGGACTTTATCATTACCATGAATTTAAGTTAATAAATCCTAAATAAACTGAATGAAATGCAAATTAGAATAAACTTTATGTTTATTGCACGAAAGAAAATCAAAAAAGCAATTACACAAACTAATTTGGATACTTGAATACTGAAAATAACCTAAATCTACTAGGATTTGTGTTAAAATTGAAATTTGAAAGTTAAGGTAAGTAATCACTACAAAACTAAAGAATTGAAAATTTGATGAGTTTTGTATAGGGTTGGCCGTGTGTTGAAAAAATAAGAAAACTTTTATTTATATGCTTCTTGTGAACTGTCTTTTCGCTTCGGTTGCTAGTTATTCAGATCATGGATAACTCCTCAACTGCACTTCCTCCTAAACTCTAGGAATTTTTATTTCTTTTTTAAATTCAAACTGTAATAAACCAGGTAATTTTTATCTTTCCAAAACTAATTTTTATAGATATGCATCCCTTAAGTAGATCTGATCTCACCTTATACATTAACATGTGGCATCACCAAAAATGTAATTTATAGTGTAAACAAATTTATATTGCATAAAAAAAATTGACTTAAAAACAAATATAAAAATGCCTAACAACTTATATTTTAAAATAGAGAGATGAGATCTTTAGATGGAAATATAAACTCCAAATTAACCTTTTGCTTCACATGTACACACTATTTTTTGTTTTTTTCAGCAATAAATTAGTAGGCTTTGATATTTTTCTCCTTAAAGCTCATAAATGAAATGGAGTAACTTGTGAAATTGGGATCTTCTAATCTATACGTTTAAGTTACAATTTAAATTTTTATTAATTGTATTATTTAACTATAATTAATATTCTATAAAATTGTATATAAGATTTAAATAAAATAAAAATATTTACCTTTAAAATATATAA